AAAGCTAAAATCAGACAACAAAAGCTCGTTTGGACCTCCGGAGTGTTCGCAATGGGTTGCCAGTAAGCAAAAGTTTCCGCAGTGTTGTCATCAAGCCTAGATATGACATCACAGACGCATTAGCTTTCATGAAATAAATGGATTAAAGAGCATGAAAAAAATGTTTAAACTGGTTTACATGGATCTTCCGGAAATTACATGAGATACATAAACGCCGAACACGAAATCTTATTTTATACTCTGTTAGATCACAGCATGAAAGTAATAAGTTAATATATACTTCACATTGTCTCAGAAACCGACCCTTACTCATAATAAAAGCACAACCATGAACCACCCAGCAGTATTCTGTATGACATTGTACGATCACGTTTAAGAACAGTAAAAAAGATCATTATGGATGGGCTTGTCAGAAAACAACGTTTTAGCTTTACAATGTAAGAAAACTTGACTGGACTATTAAGACAAATATGACGTCTCTTCATGTATGTGTGAATATAAGATGCTAAACTTACCAATCTCAGGAGGTAAACCCGACAGTGAGTTATTAGACAGGTCAAGAACTGAAAGCCGCAAACTGCATGCCTCCACGGGATATTCTTTCAACTGTAGCCACAAAAGATAAAATTGACAGCAGAATCCAAATTACTACGTGAGATTGCAAACACTAATAGATAGGTTAAAAGATTAAACTCAATCAAACTTCTAGAAGGTATTGTAGAGTTTCTTCCCAGAGAAACAAAGGAACTTATGGCACAGTAACTTTGAATGCGATCTTGAAACATCACCTGGTTTGATTGCAGATCAAATGTCCCTAGCTGGGTCAATGATCCCAGTTCTGTGGGTAATGAAGACAGTGCATTATTCCTGTAATACAGAATAGACAAATCAACAAAAGAAAAAAGATAGATTTTAGATACAGAATGTGCAAGACAGTAATAATCGTCATTTCAAACCCAAATCATAAGACAACGGCCAAAACTGAACTGACCCTATGTAAAACTCTAGGAGAGATGAACATCCCTTTATTGATGGTGGGATAGAAGCAATTCCTGCAGGATATATAATAATATATCAGCTGAGCTCAACTGAGTACCAGAAGTAAATAATGATAAACATAGATTATTGAACATGCAAAGCATTTGCAAATAGCCAGAATCAAACTGGAGTTACTAACTGTTCTGGTGAAGGTCAAGCCTAATCAAACGTGTAAGCCTTCCAATGCTCTCTGGCAGACTTCTTAATATGTTTTTAGCTAAAATAGTTCAAAGAAGAAGCAGTTGAGAAATTACCAACCTGCACAGAACTACATAAATGAAATTGAAAAAAGAAAACGTAGATATCTACATGCATTGAGTTCCATGAGCATAGTGCACGATGAAATCAGAGTATCAGATAGAATTTCTAGCTTGTTTCCCTGTCAAAAAAGGTGAATGACATGATCAAGAACTCGAGGTTAGTGATCTAGAGAGGCATAATGGGAGAAATGGAAGTAATGAAATAATAGATCCTTAGAATACTTCTGGTTATGATATCCATACCTCTATATCCAACTTCACTAATTTTGAACAATTTGCTAACTCTTCAGGCAAGCTAGAAATGTTATTGTTTGATGCCTGAGAAGATCACCAAATGCTCCAATAGAAATCATGAC